TATTTAAAATATGTATAAAGTAAAAAGGAAACAAAATTATTTTTTGATGAATTTTTGTGTTTCTTACCATTTAAACATTCCATTTTTAATTTAAAATTTTAATTATCAACGTGTATTTATAATTCTTTCTTACCAAAAATGTGTATAAGGAAATCACTTTATTTAAAATAACTAAAAAGTATAAATGAAAACACAACTGTGGTTTTAATTTTGATACTTTAAAGTATGAAAATATTTTTTTGTTCAAGGCAACACTTTCATGTTTTTTTCTAAAACGGTAATTTTTTAATGCACGGTAATCACGTAAAAGGAACATACCTTTTTAATATCATTATTATTACGTAGCTTATAATGAAATTACCTTATCTAAAATACGTATAAAGTAAAAACAGAAACACATTTACTTTTTGATCTATTTTTTTCACATTGTCATTTCAATTTCCAAACTTTTAATTTTCGTTTATAATATATAGTGTTGGACCAAAAAATATTTGGCAAAAGAATACTTCTATTCACACGGTACCATAAAAGTAATATTTATACGTTTATAAAAAGGGTATTTAAACATTATACTTCTGTGTTAATTATACTTTTTATAACATGGTACCATAATTAATATACTTTTTATAACACGGTATTAAAAATTTTAAGGTATGGAATTACCTTATTAATGAATAATACATTACACGGAAATTTAATTACCATAATTATCTTTTACTTGACACTTTAATTTAATACATATGTTAAATTATAATTCATAAATATGTATTACCTTTTACACACCACTATTATATTTAGTACTTACCTATTCATGTTGGGTATTTACCTTTTGTGATTAACATGGGTGGCTTGGAGAGTGTGCAAAGTGGCCAGTCGCATAGAATCTCTAAAATTTTAGGGTCTTATATTTTTAAATGCATCATTAATTTTGAAGCATGATTATTTTTTCGAGGCCAGCCTTGTAATTGAAGATTATTGAGGCGGGAAAATGCAAAGGGAAGTTCCACTCTTTTTAAATATAATTTTGATTTTGTGCATGCCTACATATTGAATGGGTGGGAAAGCAACAAACAGTTCCGGTCTAACTAAAAAGCCCTATCAACTAACTCCGGTCTTTCAGAAAAAAAAACTAACTCCGGTCAAATAATGATGTTCAAACGGTGGGGCCCTACAGTGTGTTGAATTTAGCTAAAACTTTTTTTACCACCGAGACACCGACACACTCTCCCCATTTTACTACCGAGTAATCTTCTTCGCCTTCACAGCCTTCACTTTTGACTTTTTACTCTAATCGGGCAATTTACCATGGGCTGTTGATCAATTCTTAAACATAAAATATAAATTAGGAATTTAATCATGTGTACCTGATAATCCTGTAAACGTAGTTAGGGATGAGGTCACGATTCTCACATAGATCGAGTTCTCGTTTAGGGTGAGGATGACTCACGAGAATAGAGAGGCAGAGAGGAGGCGTAAGATTGGTGTAGTGTAATCTCTGCCTAATGACCTCTATATATATATACACCTAAGGGGAAACTCTAATTAGGTCATAAGGGCAATTACGTCCATCGAATAATTACCAATTAAATACGTAGGGTATTTATTAGGTCAATGATCAATTAATTAGATAAATGATAACTCAGGCCACATAATAATAAAATCGTGTCCTACATTCTCCCACTTGGCCGAGTAATCATTTATGATGAGTATTAGATAAGTCTGATCAGATTTTAATACTCATTTTAGTTCTAAACCGAAATTGTAGCAGAGAAATACAGTTATTGAATCATAAATCAATTCAAGACCTCCATTAATCATACTACAATACCAAGTTTAAAACTTAAATAAGCTAAGGATCAAATTGAAAATTAAGCCCATAACATTATTTTGTATATAAATGTTGTCTATATGTCTTTAGGCATGCATAGACACATTTAGAGACAGACAAAACAAACAATGAGGAAATTTTATTATTAAATGTAAGCAAGTACAATATGCAACTAAATAAGGTCTTTAGAAAATCCCATTTTCGAAACATGTTCTTCGAAAATCTTAGGAGGGAGACCTTTAGTCATCGGATCCGCAAGCATATTCTTAGTACTTATATGCTCAATACAAAGTTTATTTTCCTCAACTCGCTCACGTACGAACAAGTAGTTTGTATAAAGCAGCGCCAGTCGAACTATTACTGTTCGAGAAACTAACGGCGGCTAAGTTATCACAATAAAGCTTCAATGGTCGAGAGATGAAATTAACTGCTTTGAGTCCAGTGATGAGGTTCCTAAGCAACATCCCATGACAGGTTGTGTTGTACACCGCCATGTATTCTGCCATCATTGTAGAAGTTGCAGTTAACTCTTGCTTATGACTCTTTCACGAGATAGGTCCGCCAGCTAAAATAAAGATATACCCTGAAGTGGATTTCTTGTCATCTTTGCACTTAGAAAAATCAGAATCAGAATAACCAACCACTTCTAAATTATTACTCCTTCTGTAAGTCAGTTTATAGTCTTTTGTCCCTTGTAGATATCGAAGAACTTTCTTAGCTGCTTTCCAGTGATCAAGACCAGGATTGGTCTGATAACAACCTAACATTCCAGCAATGTAAGCGATATCTGGACGAGTACAGACTTGTGCATACATAAGGCTTCCTACTACTGACGCATAAGGTATCATTCTCATCTATTCTTTTTCAACCTCTATTTTCGGACATTGAAATAAACCAAAAACATCTCCCTTAACTACTGGAGCCACAGAAGGAGAGCAATATTGCATGTTATAACGTGTAAGGACACGCTCAATGTAAGCCTTTTGAGATAATCCCAAAATACCATTGACTCTATCTCGGTGTATTTCGATTCCAATAACATAAGAAGCCTCTCCGAGATCTTTCATGTCAAAATTACGCGAGAGTAAGCGCTTGGACTCATGCAACATGTCTAAACTATTACTTGCCAATGTCATCTACGTAAAGGACAAGTATAGTAAAGTTGCTCCCACTCATCTTAAGGTAGGTGCATTGATCCACTTGATTCTTTATGAAACCTGACTTCAAGACTTGATGTAACTTTAGGTACCATTGACGTGATGCCTGCTTCAACCCATATATGGATTTCTTTAGCTTACAGACTAGATGTTCTTGACCTTCAGATTTGAATCCTTCGGGTTGTTTCATGAACACTTCTTCATCCAGATCGCCATTAAGGAAAGCGGTTTTGACATCCATTTGATGTAGCTCTAAATCAAAGTGAGCTACAAGGGCCATAACGATCTTTAATGAATCCTTTCGAGAGACAGGATAAAAGGTCTCTTGATAGTCAATTCCCTCTTTCTGAGTGTAGCCCTTTGCAACCAATCTCGCTTTGTAGCGTTCAATGTTTCCATTCGGGTCCAGTTTTGTTTTGAAGACCCATTTACATCCTACGGGTTTTACACCGTTGGGTAATTCAACCAAATCCCAAACATCATTTTTCTTCATGGAGTCAAGCTCTTCAATCATGGCTTTATTCCATTTAGAAGACTGATCACTGTTAATGGCTTCATTATAAGAGGTAGGATCAGTAAACTTTCTAGCATCCATTTCTGCTTCGGTCAGGTAGGTAACATAATCATCAAAGTTAGTAGGCCTTTTAGACCTAGATGACCTCCTCAGTAAATTTTCGGATTGAGCATTGGCGGCATTGTCTTGATGGTGATCATTTGAGGTGTCTTCATTTCCAGGTACATTAGGAATAGGAGGTGGTGCAGTGTCCTGCGGATTGGCATTGAGTACAAGAGGAGTAATTGGAGGTAAAGTAATCAACAAGTCTCTCTCCCCCGCATCTTGTACTTCTTGCAATTCATCATAAGGGTTTTCACTGCTCCCACTGACCTTAAAATCTTCAAGGAAATGAGCATCTTTGGTTTTTACAAAACGAGTGACGTGGGAAGGACAATAAAATCTATAACCCTTTGAGTGAGAAGGATAACCAAGGAAGTAGCAAGTTACAGTTTTCATGTCGAGTTTCTTTAAGAAGGGATTATAAAGTTTAACTTCGGCGAGACAACCCCACACTTTCATATATCTTAGACTCGGTTTCCTTCCTGTCCAAAGTTCAGGAGTTTTAGGGACAACTTTAGAAGGAACCCTATTGAGTATATGAACAGCTGTTTTTAAGGCCTCAGTCCAGAGAAAGAGAGGTAAACCTGAGTTGGCTAACATACTGCGTACCATGTCCATTAAGGTCTTATTTCTTCTCTCAACAACACCGTTCTGCTGAGGAGTTCCAGGCATGGTACATTGGTTCACGATCCCCTGGGCCTTACAAAACTCATAAAATGGACCAGGAGCTTGACCCACATCAGTATGTCTACCATAATATTCACCTCCTCTATCTGATCTTACAACTTTTATCTGACGATCAAGTTGTTTTTCAACTTCAGTTTTATAATCTTTAAAAGTTGTAAATGATTCAGATTTTTCCTTAATAAGATACAAGTACATATAACGAGAATAATCATCAATATAAGTGATAAATGAGTTATGTCCAGTTATGCCAGTGATAGAGTAAGGACCACTAATGTTAGTGTGAATGAGCTCTAATAAATTAGAACTCCTAGTGGCACCTTTCTTATTCACTGATGTCATTTTACCTTTAAGGCATTTGACACATATTCCAAAATCATTGAAATCGAGAGATGGTAACACTTCATCCTTCACGAGTCTAGACAAACGTTCTCGTGAAATGTGGCCTAAGCGTTGATGCCACAACATAGATGAAGTTTCTAAGTCTCGTTTTCGTTTTCTCTTTGTTAGTGTCTGATTGATATTATATGACAACAAAGATTTGGAAAAATCATCATCTAGTTCTAATTTATAGAGACCACCATCCAGAAAACCATGACCAAACACTTGAGAATTGAAACTAATAGTAAGTCTGCCATGACCATGAGAAACATCAAAACCGTCTATGTCTAACTTTGGTCCTGATATTAAATTCCGAGTAATCTCGGGAATATATAAGGTATCATAAAGTTTAATACATAAACTAGTTTTCATTATTAATTCCAAGGTTCCCACGGCTTCGATAGCTAGTTCTATTCCATTCCCTAGCTTAAGTGTTCTTCGGTTTCTTTCCAGCTTCTGGATTGTAAGGAATCCCTGAAGTGAGTTGGTTACATGAACCATATAACCGGAGTCAAACCACCATGTATTAGTTGGAACATTTAAATTAAAGGACTCAAGTATCATGTAAAGATGATTACCTTTCTTCGTCAACCACTCCTTAAAGTCTTGGCAGTCTTTCTGTTTATGTCCTTCCTTGCGGCAGAACTTGCAGTAAGACTTCCCTTTGGAGTTCTTAGAGCTGGAAGAAGCACTTGCATCACGTTTCTGGACTTTAGAAACTTCCTTCTTATCAACATTGCCCTTCCTCTTCTTTGGATTAGCGGTCATGAGGTAAGCCACATCCGGTTTGTCTAGCTTCAGACGCTCTTCTTCTTGTACACACATAGCAATCAACTCATTCATCGACCACTTGACCTTCTGGGTGTTGTAGTTGACCTTGAAAGCTTCAAAAGATGTAGGAAGAGAAGTCATTATGAAGTGCACCAGAAAACCTTCACTGATCTCCATGTCTAATCCCTTAAGCTTGCGAGCCATGTCGTTCATCATCATGATGTGCTCACGAATGCCGATATTCCTGTTGTATTTCGTAGTCACCATCTTCAAAATAATAGTACTAGCATGTGCCTTAGAAGTTGCTTTGAATTGTTCCTCCACAGAAGCCAGATATGTTTTAGCATTAGATGAATCTAGAATAGCTCCCCTGATGATTATGCTGATGGAATTTTTAATGAGCATAAGAGCCATCCTGTTGCACCTCTCCCATCTCTCATGTACTATTTTATCTTCAGTAGTACTTTTATCAGTGAGGGCAGGAGGGGCAGGCTCTCTCAGTGCATAATCAAAATCCAACATGCCAAGAGTTAGCATCAGTGAATCTTTCCATGAAGAAAAATTCGCACCGTTCAAAGTTTCAATTCCCATATTTGGGGCTGATATTGGATTCAGATGAGAGAAATAAGACACATAACTAAAGAAGAACTTGAGGGGTAATGAACTAAGGCTGGCAAGATAAGGACCATTATATAGTAATGAAGCTGTGATAAGAGTATATTATAACACCAAAATAATAGACTAAATTTAATTCTACTCAAACAAGTGGCTTTCACTTTGGTTATGACCACTTATTTAAGTATTATGAATAATAAAATAATGATGTGCAATTTGAATGTAACACATCACCTTTGGGCAGAAGTGAAACATTTAAATTTTAATGTACATATATATTTAGTTCGCAATACACAATTATAACACATCATCTTTGGACAGAAGTGAAAAATTATGTATTTTAAGGCAAGTGGCATGCAAATATCTATTTAAGGATATGCACTAAATGACAATGCTTAATAAGACTTGAAATAAATTTTACAAATGTTACACATCACCTTTGGGCAGAAGTGTATTCTAAGGTATTATTCAAGTCAAGCAAAATAAATGAAATTAACTAATCATAAAATAAATTTTATTTAAATTAGTCAAATGATTTATAAATTTATTGTTAATAATTAATCAACCGCAAAAGTTAAAGCGGTTCGGGGCGGGACTACGAAAAAATTGGGGACCCATTAAGATTAATTTAATTAGAAAATCAAAGGCATATAAGTCAAGAGATTTTCCAACAAGTAAAAAAAATTAATTTTTTTAATGGTATTTTAACATATCTCTTACTTAGTTTTGCTATTCTTGGTAAAATAAGTCAATAGAATAAGGAAATAGACTATATTATACAAGAGTGAGATATGCCATACAATTTAGAAAACACAATCATATTCCAAATCAAAATAAGAATGTAGAATAACATGATTAATTTATTTATTCGTAATTTGTGGAATCAAAATCATGAAACAATTTTTTTTTTTAAACTTATGAATTACCGAGTAAACAAAGAATCAAAACTGATGGCAAATTTAGGTGGAACTCCACAATTAGATCTGCAGCAATTTTACTCACTCGAATTGAATCAAAAGTTTAAAAAAAACAATTACTTTGAGAGCTTATTCCGATTTTGCAGTGAAAAAGAAAATAAAGCCACAAGTGAATTATTGTGGAGACACCATTATTGATCTAAATTGGAAAACAATTCAAACGGAATTTTCAGAGTTCATAATTTCCGATTACAGTTCAAGGAAAATAAAAAGAATTGATTTATCAACATAACGCTCCGATACCACATGTTAATCAATTCTTAAATATAAAATATAAATTAGGAATTTAATCATGTGTACCTGATAATTCTGTAAACGTAGTTAGGGATGGGGCCATGATTCTCACACAGATCGAGTTCCCGTTTAGGTGTATCGTTATGATGACTAAGGTGAAGATGACTCACGAGAATAGAGAGGCAGAGAAGGGGCGTAAAATTGGTGTAGTGTAATCTCTGCCTAATGACCTCTATATATATAGACCCAAGGGGAAACCCTAATTAGGTCATAAGGGTAATTACGTCCATCGAATAATTACCAATTAAATACGTAGGGTATTTGTTAGGTCAATGATCAATTAATTATATAAATGATAACTCAGGCCACATAATAATAAAGTCGTGTCCTACATGGGCGTTTTAGCAAGCAAAAGAAACACCACGTTCTCATATTTATAGATATGAGGATTATTTTTTGAAATTTAGTGAAGCTTAAATAGGTTTTAAATTTAAATACCATGTTCTGATATTTTTTGAATTCCTTTCCATCAATTTCATCATCTTCATCACTTGAACTTTGTAGTTTATCGCCTACAATCCATAATATTGAGTTATAACTTTGTGCTTCATCACCTAAGGATATTTCAAATACCGAATTTGAACTAAAAATTTAAGAATATTAATAAAAACAAAACGATGAGATATCAGAATCATCATAAATTAAAAGGCCAAACCCTAACCATCACAAATTGCAAGCATCCAATCACGTAGACAAACAAGAGCTTGCACTATTTTCGGTACAAGGCTCTTGTGGGCGAGATTGTCTTTCCGCGGATGCTAAAAGAAGATTCGAAGTAGTCTTGCATGCTTAGCATTGGGCCACTGGCCTAACTAAAAGATATATACTCCCTCCGTTCCACAAAATCCTTCCGGTTTTGACTTTGGGGGAAAATAAGGAAAGTGTAATTTTGGTGTGCGGGCTCAATATTATAGGTATCAGGTTAGTCCGTCTGCGGGCTCAAACCCTTCCACAAAACCCTTCCGGTCATAATATTATAGGTATCAGGTTAGTCCGTCTGCGGGCTCAAACATCACATCCATACTATACCCGGCCTTCATTACCCGTACGTAAATTACAGGCTAAGCCAACCCGCATACAAAAAATCAAGTTCAAGCCCGTATTTTTTTGGTATGCATCGGGTGGGTACTTGGACTCGTGATCGGGTGTCTATTCACAACATTATTCTCCCTCCCGAAATTCTTACATAAATGAATTTTGTTTCTTTGAACATACTCCGCATCAGATAATTTTATTTCAACGACAATTAACAATGAGTGAATTTAAAATATTTTTATACTCCGTGTGTGTGTGTATATATGTATGTATATATATGTGTGTGTGTGTGTGTGTGTATATATATATATATATTCTCCCTCCATTCATGAAAGATCTCCATATTTGACTTTACTTGATCCAAATTTGTGAAGAATGATCTCGATATGTAGAAAAATACATTATATTTTGATATTAATTAAGTAACACCAATAATTTTCTTTAGAAACATAGTTTTGAAAGATTAACTTTTTATATGATATATTTATGTGTAAATATAGATATTCGATCATCACTAAAGTGTTACGTTGGAGGTCGTGAAAAGTCAAATGAAAAGATCTTTTTTCGGATGAAGGGAGTGATAAAAAAAATTCAAAGTTTTGGGCTCTGGAAAAAGTGAACCCACTAACTCTGTATTCTTTTTTAACTATTCATAATGACTTTCTTAATATTTTTAAAAATTAATAAATGTAGATATAAAATATGTCTACATTTATTCATTTTTATTATATGAAAAGAATCATAATAGTCCATTAAAAATGAATGAAGTATTTTAGAAAGAACATTGGTTCAAACACAACCCTAACAAATACATACTCGTTTTGTCTTTGAAATTATCTAATAATTTAATTCCACAGAAATTACAAATAAGTGTTGAAAAGATTAGATAAATAAAAAAAGGTATGGTTGGAATTTATTTGGAGAGACAAAATGAATGATATCCACATATTTATTTCCAAAACAAAATGGAAAAATATAAAATTGATTTATACACATCTCAAAAGAAAGTGTAAAATTATTTCAAACACAAGTATTTGCATTGAGAGATTCTACTGGGTACCTAAGGTCCACAAAGACCTTCTCACAAATTTTTTTAAGGGCAAGGTTCCCATGACATTGGTCCAATGTCATGGGATGACCCGGGGGCGCTCCGGTGCCCCGTTCGTAAAATTGACGGTTCCTACCCCCCTAACCCCCCGGTAAACCTCCCCACCCCGCCCCGACCCGAACGCACCCCGCCACCTTCTTCAATTGCACCCCGCAAGTTGATTTTAACTTTGGAGTCAAATTTTGAAGACATGATTTCTATAAAAACTTTGTATCCATTAGTCCTTCAATGCTCTTCGCGAGTGCGTTAATCCCTGCTGATATCCAAAATTAATTTTAAATATCAAAATGAATTAACCTCAAAGTTCAGGTATCCCCAATAAAATCTATTCATTTTTTATATTTTTATTTAAACTTCTTTTCATGAAATAGGTATTATAGTATTTTTATAATCACAGTCCTTCCTCACTAGAACCATATACGGAGTACTCATTCCGTCCCAGAGCATTTGTTTAATTTAGATTTTTTTATCAATTAGAAATAATCATTGACATATAATTAAATAAAAATTACATAGTATATTAATGAGATAAAAAAATATTTTAAAAATATTTTACAAAATAAATTTAATAAATTATATCTTTATCAATATTTAATATAAATTTTATTTAATTAATTGTCAAACTTTATCAATTTTGATTGTAAAAAATTTAAACTAAACAAATATTCCGAGACAGTGATGATAATAGATTATTAATGCTTCACCATATCCAATAAAACCAAACAAAGTAACATCAATCATTCTACTCTACTTCTATCCTTTACCCTCTTCCCCTCTCTTCGTATTGAAGTAATTCAACCAAACATCATAATAGAAGTTTTCAAAAGGATCATTAAAAAGTATTTTGTGGAAATGAAAAAACAACCTATCAAAAACTCTTGTTGGATGCTTCTACATTTTACTCCATTTGTCCCATAAAAAGTGTTATTTTTCGCAACTTGTACAAGAATATAGGTATATTTACAAAATGAAATTTAAAAAAAGTAATCAATGAACGTTGCACAGTTGGCAAAGGCATGAAGTGTCAAGGGGTTGCGACTCCTGACAACTAAGCATAAGACCTACACAAGTACTAGGTGCAGGCTCCACTCTCTATCACCAATCTGCAATCAAAGTCAAATATACCCCTTCTCAGTGACGGGGTGACCGTCGGCCAGGTGAAGAGCTCTCGGGGATAGGGCATTCCTTTACAAAAAAAGTAATCTGAAAAGATGGTGTACATAAAACTTATCCCTACTAAAAAATTTGAAGTAGAGATGTTTCCAAGAGACAATGGGTTCAAATACAAAAGCAAATATAGGAATTGTGCATTCATCATAATTGTTTTTCCACCCCACCCCACCCCACCTACCCCCCCTCCCCCCAAGCCCCTCAGAAAAGTATGATTAAAAAATAAACACAAGTGTTGAACTGAAAAAGTGATCTCTTCTTGCAGAAGAAAATGACCCTTACTTTAAGATGGAATAAACGATTAACACCATCTCAAGTTAAGAATTCATTCCCTCCAATAAAAGAAAACCAGTAACTTACCAATGGAAAAAAATTACTTTTGCTTCAGCTAAACTACTACTGACTGCAACTTTATCTCTTTTTCTTATTGACAATGTGGCCAAAGAGCAGATTCCAATGGCGTCCTGCTTCTTCTGGAGTTCGAAAAGTCCAGATGTGAGGCTTCTTTATGTTTCCCTATTTGAACAAAATGCCACAAATTAGCATTTACAGTGAAATATATCAATGTTTGGTGAAATATATGGCTGATCAACCAAAAAATTACATACCAAATGGGCACAAATGGACCACTTTCAGTTGATGGTAATTCACAAGAATATCACTTTTTTTTAATGGAGGTTTGTCATTCTCCATGAGAGTATTGTTTTTTTTAAGTATACTCTCAATGTTCTCTTGGATTCTTGACACACCATTTATGGTTGTTTGCCTGAAGCTATTTTAAATTCATTTTATTTACGTATTAGTGTAAAATTGAAAATTAATTTTAAAAAATACACCGTGTACTTTTTGAATCCACAAAAAAAGTTCTACAAAACTAGAGGTGGCTTACTTTGTAATTTTAACAAATGATAGATGAAAATATGTAAAGAAAGAAGTTTTAATTTGACCTATGAATAGTAATTGTAAAGATCCCACATGATAGATGAAAATGGTAAGAGCAAAACATTATGCCATACTCATTGTAGTATTGTACACTACTTAGTCGGAATTGGAAGGGCTGGCTCACACCCGGTACCAAAAAGGGATGCATTTTGATACCTGGGTTCAATCATTCAAGCAGACGGAGAGATAGATGGGATGTTCATCGTCTTGGAACTGTTTGGGGCTTTGGGCAAAGTGGGAGCTATGTACATTTTGCGACAAGATATCGGCACAAGTTTTATCGGACAATAGTCAGACCAACTATGTTAACTGAGAAGAGTGTTAGGGGGTGAAGCAAACTCAGATCCGTTAGGTGGACGTGTAGTCATACAGGTAGGGATAAGATCCGGAACGAGATTATTCGAGAAAAGGTGGGAGTGACACATGTGGAGAATAAAATGCGAGAGGCTAAACTGGAGTGATGTAGGCACGCAAAGAGTAGAAGTGCAAAAGCCCCAATGAGTATATGCGAGAGGCTTGCGATAGTGACGGTGAGAAGGGGAGGGGTAGACTTAGGAAAAGTTAAAAGGAGGTGACTAGACATGACTTACGAGTTAAGGATCTTACCAAGGATATGACCATAGATAAGAATATATGGAGATCTAGGATTAAAATAGTTGGCTTGACCTATGAAACTTCAATTCATTTATAGTTATGGTTGTGCGTTTTTGCTTTAGTTTTTACTTTTGTTCGTGCTAGTGTGTTTGCATTGTCTATGCTTCTGTGTCTGAGTCGAATATCTTAAAAGTAGGTTCTCTACTTCCATGCACGGATAAGGTTATAAGGTATGCGCGCACCCATCCTCTCGAGACTACTTTTTGTGAGATGTTACTGGGTTTGTTATTTTTCTTGTTGTATCCATTGTACACAACACAGTCGATAATAGTACGAAGAGTAAACAACCGATGGGAGCAAACAAAACTCCCATACCAGGAAAAAGAATGAATTGAACAAAAATAAATAAGTTCAACTAACTCATTAGTGTGAGGCTTTTTGAAAGTTGCCAAAAACAAATTCATAAGAACTTGGTCCAAAGCGGACAATATCATAACGCGAGTTGGAGTGAGAGTACACATGGTATCAAAGCCTAACTTCGTAGAGTGACATGATTGTGTTGTTGTGTGATGGGTTGTCGGAGTTCTCAGAGTTCTCGGTGTGATCAAAAGTCTTCCAACAATGAGAAGGTCGGACAAGGGGTGCGAAGTTGTAGCGGTGGGGCAAGATGGTTGGCATATCAAAATGAATTATTGTTAGAGAGGTCACAAGTTGTGTGGTCGTTAGTTTGAGGAAAGTTTGTTGGGATTAAAGAAAACACCCACACCAAAGAAAAGAAAGGAATTGAACCAAAATGAATAGGTTCAACCTAACCCATTGGTACAACGCCTTTTGAAAGGTACCAAAAACGAATTCATGAAGGCTTGACCCAAAGCAGGCAATATCATACTAATACGGGATTGGAACGAGGGTACGCAAAGTCCCAACAACAACACAGTAAGGTCCTAGAAGTGAGGATTGGAGAGGGTTGATGTATATTAAACTTACTCCTACCTCAAAAAAAAGAGTAAAGAGGTAGCTTTTGAGAGACCTTCAGTTCAAACAAACATGATGACATGTTAGAATAATCAAGTACTCTGTATAAAAGACAATAACAAATACTTCTTCTGCCTTGTTGATTTCTTTATGCACGGGTTACAATGCTTGACCGATTTTAACTTCAACTCAACAACAACATTACTCTTGTGCCACACAACTACACAAGCTCCCACAAGCTCCCGCTGATTTTAAAACACAGTGCGGCTTTTTCCATATATGACCCATGATAAGTGTTCAAAAGTATCATTGACTAACTGCTACTTGCTATTTCACTATAAAAAGAAGCACAAACAGTTTAAAGAGTCATTTTGTTTTATTCCATCATAGCCCAAAGTAAAAAACAGTGAAAATTTTGGCTCCATTAGAAATGATGAAAATAACCGATGTTAACTTCTAATCATTTTATTTAAAAACTGGTGTAAAGTTAAATAATACAATTTATATAGAGAGTATTTAACAACTACTCCGTTTATCACAAGGTTTACAAAGCACAAGCCAGCATGACCATATCGTTTTATGAAATCAATGAAAATATGTTGAGAAAAAAAAATTAGTCTAACCATTGAATAGTAAATCTAAAAGTCAGAAAGACAGTGAGTATAAGCAACTACTAGTACAAAAAGAAAGGATGGGTAAATACCAGCAAACAAATTCTAAAAAAAACAAGCCCTTGCAAAGCCACCATCACAACGACTAGAAAAATTAAGAAAACTGAAAGGTTCTCAACATACCTCCACCTTTTTGGATCTCAAGCAGTCAGAAAGAGCACTCCATTTATCATAGCAATTGTCAAGAACCCCAACCCTATAGTACTGCTTCATCTGATGGACCGGAGCTGCAAAATCATAATTCACCATTGAAATAAACATTCTTGAGATTACCAAAAAAGAAAAAGCAATATACACATTGTTGGCACTTTTTGAATTCTCATGTTCCGTTTACTTCTACCATTAGTGATGCACGGGTAAGCTATGAATCTAATATAGTTGTTCAGCTGCTCCATCACCCATCCACTATTCCACTCCTACCCCCTAAACTGATATTGCATAGGCCTATAAACCAACTACTAGTAACAAGAAACAGGTCAAGATAGCAGAAGCATACCAAACACCAAAATGGAACTCTATAAAAAGAAAGATTCATTTTTTCTGTCAAACCCCCAAACAAGAAGCAAAAACCTATGTTTGGCTATTTGCATAATTAAAAGGCCCATTCAGTAACTGGAAAATGGAAAACATTCTTCCACCACTTATCTACGAACCACTATAATTACCCTAGTGCAACCAACTACTGCAACGTAACAATTGTCCATCGACCTCCAAGGATTTGTTTCTTTCAACTGAGATAGATTTACTAAACTAAAAAGTTTTGAACTGAACTGAAACTATAATTTAGGATTAATTGGTAGCTACAAGGTATTGAACAAAACTAAACTGGAAAGAATATTGAACTGAATAAGTTGAAAAGATCAGCCCTAAATACTGGATGCACCACTACCGCTATCTATCTATCATCATGCACCCTATGCTCATCAGCTACCAATTCTAATCATCAATATAATTATTGAGATCCTAACTCCTTAAATTTTTGTTTGTTTCCAAAACTTTCAAATAAGCTCTTACACTTTATTTATTATCCCCCCCCCTCCAATAAATTTGTTTTGTTTCCTTCTTGGACGTACCAAAATGGTCTCATTTTTTGGGGAATTTACTTCTTTTTATGAAAAAAAAACTTTTTTTGACCCAACAACGTACATATATATGATTTCCTCCTTCCCAAATGGTCTCGTTTTCTATTTCATAGAGTTCAAGAAAAAGTATAAATGTGTAGGAGGAAATAGAAACAGTGTGAGCCCTTCAATGCTATCCCATAAAGGATTGTGAACTTTATTTTGGGACAGAGGGAGTATATTTTACTTCACTTTTCCTGAACCCAAAAAGTTAGTTAAGTGCATTTTGATAATTTTCTTTCACACTTAATATTCATGCCATTTTCACAAGAGAACACTAATTTAGGATAGAGAGGTGCTTGTATTATCTTTTTAACTTGTACTCCAGTGTGTAACAAGAGTTTCAACAGTCTGAATTAAACACAACAACAAAGTCCTATACTAATACAATAATTAAAGCCAACCCCTAACGGGTAACACAATTGCTAAATACGAGTAGATGGTTGTTTGGTAATCTTCAAATAAATAATCGAACTATTTTCTCCCAAAATGTCGTAAGGTGTGGGCCTCCTTAGGCTCAAAGGGCAACTTTGAACATTGAATTTACTGAGTATACAAAAGGTAGTATTCATATTACTCATAAATTTTAGAAATCATCTTGGATTAAATTACGTTTTTAAGTAGCTTAATACATTCAAAGATTTCATTGTTGTACTCAAAATTGGTTATCTATGCGTGATATATTTGTCGAGCACTTAGTGTCTAATAAGCATATAAGTGGTACATGAGGTAATATGGACATCAAACTAAATTGTGTAAGCATATGTCATATGCAATACTCCACATAAAATAAGACACAATGGAGTTCTATGTTAAATAGTGCGTGTACATCTTATTGACTCTTTTAGTTCATCAGCAACAGCAACACCTCAATAGAAACAACATTGGTTGGTGGCATGAAATTTACAGTCCCAAGTAACAATTTTTTTAATAACAGATGCCCTTCTTGTCGCAGCCTTCATACAAAGCAACAATTGGATAAAACTCCAAACATGTCTTTCTACTTCATGGGAAACATTGTAAGACAATTACAAGTTGAAACAAATGTTATTAGCATGTCAGTAATAATTAGTTAATCACATGATTGATACTACAAAATCGATATGCAAAACATGGGATTGATAGTCGAGCAGAGTTTTATTCATTTCTTGTTAACAAAATGTTTTTCTGAATCCTGTCATAGTGTCATTGCATGCTTTTTCATTGACAAGATTAACAATTTCAATTGAAAATAACAGAGTCCAGATACAGAGCATTTTATAAGAAATATAGTGTAAAGTGTACACGATTTTATAGAACCCTAACCATTCCATAGCTACCAATTGCAATTGAGATGCTAAATTTGGACTACCAAAGTGGAATGGTTGGATACAGACGATAAATTTTCGTCAAAAATGAAATGTATATAGTTCGTCTGTTTACATTTCCGGGTTTCAAATCCGTAAGCAATAATTTAGAAGAAAAAAAAAAGTTGGAAGAAAAGAAACCATTGATGAAGATGAATATAGTGAGGAAGAGGAAAAAGCATACAGTAGCAGGAAAGAAGATCTCTGAAACAGGCGGCGCACGGCCGCCGTTGTTTCTCCATTGGAAAAATCCTCAGAGTTCTGTTCTCGAATTCCTTCCTAGCACAATTTCACCTATTCAATCTTCTCCTTCCTCACAGTTACACAATTTCTACCTATTTATTTACTTTTTTTCTAGTTTTATAAATCTTTTCATTAGTTTTAAACAGTATATGTAATTTTTTCTAATCCTACCCCATTTTTCATATAAAATGATTTAAAAATAACTTTAGTCAAATATTGTAAACCGAAACATGACACTTAAATTGGGACAGAGAAAGTATTACAGAGTACTACTTATACTTATTCTAATTGAAATCAATTTAGATTGGATTAAATCAGATCAGAAACATATTTAAATATAGAGTGCTCCTTTGAAATTTTAAAATTTTACTTTTTAAATATGTATTTTTATTAAATAATTTCATTCCAATTATTATATAAAACAAGTTCAAAATAATTTCTGTCAAATATCGTAAAAGAAAGAAAAAATTGTGGATATAGGGAATGTTTATTATAAACTTTCATACACTAAAACGCTTTTTGTAAAATTATTTAAAAGTCGGTACTTTAATTTTATAAAAAGAGACGTTGTGATTAAGATAAAGAATCGAAATTATCAGATCTTGCGGAGAAGAAATTTCGCAGGATAGTAAGCGTAAGATGGTAAGCTTATTTCCCAAAATAAGAAATTGTAGATCTGATCTTGCGCGAGATGGTAAGCCTGAAGAATCTCTTTTTGGAATGGACAAGAATCTCGATCTCATTGTCTCGTTCTGAAATATTCCTACTTTGTCCATATATAATACGGAGTATTTCGTTTTGTTTAAGATGCCAAAATTTTGTCCAGAACTACCCAAACTGACTTAATTAATGGAACGGGACTGGAATAAATAAAAAGTATCTCGTTCCCTTTCGTTGTCTTGTTTATTTATGTATAGACCCAAATATTAATTCACATTACTTTTTTTATTCATTTTTATAAGATTTGTAGACTAAAGTATTATTTTTAAAATGTTTTTATATGTTTTTATTGCACTTGTATTTGAGACTTTATTAAAAATGTTTGTATAAAATTTTCAAATTAGTTTTTAGAGTTAAAATATTACAAATTTTTGTATTTACAACTTATAAAAAGTTTGAATTAAGACATCTCAAACCGTTCCAAAATGTCTCGGTCCCAAAATGAAAGGGACAAAGTAGGATTATGTCGAGTCTCAGACCTTTCTGCCTCATTTTTATAAAAACGGATTGTGACCAGGACTACTTCAAAGCTAAACTGTTCATAATTTTCTGGAGAGAAAGAGACAAATAAGGGATGACAAATCCATTGCTACTTTTAAACAATTTTCATACATCCCACAAAACAAAATTAGAAATTTGTTTTTTGTGACATAAGGAGTACTCCCTCCGTTCCAAAAAGTCTTTTCTGTTTACTATTACGGCCTCTAGATAACTCTTATTTGTTTGCGTGTTTTCATTGATCATTTCATAAAATAAAATATTCTTGTCACTTCTTAATTTGTAGAGTTTCTGATGTAGTTTTTAAATATAATGTTTTTATGTGTTATTTCCTTACCAATTTACAAATAAAATCATTTCAAAATCCACGGGGTTTTGCACGTTATTCAAAGTAAGAAATTCTTTTTGGGACGGATAGAGTATTAGAATAAAAATATGACAATAAAATTTAATGTGAAAATACACACGACATTAATTAAGTGCGTGACATTAATTTTGAATCATAATTCGAAGAACTCCGTAATCCTGGCCTGAATAACCGTACGTTCAGGGCCGGCCTTGCTCATCGTCTCCGGGAAAGTACTGCCAGAAGGGCACTTCCTCCGAACGACATTTAGGGCTGCTGTCCGCCGTGAAACCCTCTGGAAAACGGCACTTGAAATCGAAGCAGGTGACCTGAACCTTGGTACTATGGTCGGACCCCTCCTTAAACCCGACACGAAAACGCATCCTCAAGACCAATTCGTAGACATCGGTGGGGCTGTAGTCGTCGTTCGGGAAGGAAAACCGGTTGTTCCGAGCCTGAAAACGGACGGTGACGTCGGAGGAGTTCCCGGGACCCAACGAGGAAGGGCTGATCGACGGGGACGACGTGGACGCGACCACGTGCCATCTGTTGAGATGGGTGATGCTCACGTGCGTGGTGTTGCCGTAGAAAACGGTTACGTTTTTTTTGTTTGTGTTGGCGGCTTTGAGGGTGAAGGTAAAGTCGCCGGTAACAAGGGAATTGTTGGTTACGGCGGCGTTTTGGGACAACGCCGCGTTCACGACGGAGTACTCCGGCAACTTCGGATCGTCCTTGTCCTTTGATGATGCCACAATGGCAATGACGACAATAGCAACGACGAACAAGATAATGATAATAATAATAATGGATCGTTTCCCGCAGCAGGATCGTTCACGATGGTCATCATCGTAGGCCATTGATGAATCTTGAGAAAACCACAAAAAAAAAAGTAATTCCTTAATTACTAACTGTGATTATTTCTATTTAGTGGGTCTGGAAGAGAAGAAACCATGGGATTAAATAAGCTAAGAATATCACTGAGTTTACAAAAAGTAAAGCACGCTCTACGTCTCTTTCAGAATAGATTTAGAGTTTAGCGTTATCGTTTTGAAAAAAATATCTACGGACATCATTTAGCTTTAACACTTTTTAAGTTAATTTGCAATCCAAAATACTAACATTAATCGAAAATGTAATTCCCAAAAGAGGCTGTACTTTAGCGTTAAACAAGGCATTTGTCTATATACTACTCGTAATTATCATTATTATATTATTGCACACCCTCTCTCTAAAAATTATTTCATGTTTTATTTGATATAGAGGTTGAGAAAAATTAAAAAATATAAAGATTTCTCATGTTTGGTGACTTTGCTCTTGATGCAATGTAAAGTGGGGTATAAATGTATAATCATACATTCGTTAATTTTTTTTATCAAAATAGAAAATGAAAAACAAATTATAGACTATCTAAAGACGAAAGTGGAAAAGAAATCAATGGACAAAAAGAGAACTTTTTTCAAGAATTTGCATTGATCAAACTTTATACTCCCATGACATTTACTTCATTCATTCCGTATATATTAAGCATCTATTATAACTTTCTGATATATTAGAAAATAAATGAATGTAGATATAGTTTATGTCTATATATATATATATATATATATATATATATATATATATATATTAATTTTTCAATGTATAAAAAAGTATCACGGAGCAATAGACACTTAATTTGGAACGGAAGGAGTAACAATAAAAATTTCAAAGTCATACTTCCTCCGTTCCACAAAACTCTTCCGGTTTTGACTTTAGGGAAAAATAAAAAAAGTGTAATTTTGGTTGACTTTCCAATTTTGCCCCTGATGTGATGGGAAAAAGTAAGATGTGATAGTTTGGTTATTAGTGAAAAATTATGATGTGATAGGTAGGGTATGAAAAAGTAGGGGTAAAAGTGATTTTTTAATAGAAAGTGGAAGTGTTTTGTGGAAAGTATAAAAAATAAAAGAGGAAGAGTTTTGTGTAACGGAGGGGAGTAGATGACAGGGAGTATATGTAATTTAGTTGAAAGGGAGGGTAGAAAGGGTCTTTTTTCCTTCTTTAATTTGGTGGGTGACTGGGTGTTGCTTAGCTTACGCACCCGCTTTCGTTCTTAGTTCGCCTTTTTTTTAATTTTGATTTGAGGAAAATTTTGAAATTTCCTTAAATCAAACAATTTGTAACCCGTTTCTTTGCTGTCATCCTCTTTACATGGAAATACTCATTTATGTCCCAAAATTTCAACTTTTTTTAGATTCTATTTATTTAAAAAATTAATATATGTTATAAATTGAGTACTTTATTTATCATATGTCGGAGTATTTATACATACACGGGGAAGAGGTAAAGTCTAAGTAAACAAGATACGTAACCAGATATTCTAAATAATAAGAGTAATATATCTGTCATATTTAACACTCCCCCTCAGATATATCATCATTCATTATACACTAACAACATTATGCTAAGAGATAATGATAGCTAGATTCTTCAGAACCTATATTAACTGATACTGCAGGATCAGTTATGCTGCCTCATTAAAAACCTTACTAAGAAAACTCAGTTGCAGCGTGTATAATGTTTTCCCTCAAAATATAAATATACTCCTCCTCAAACTAATTTATCTCTTTCAGCTTCCGAAGTCCAATTTTCTTTATGAGTTGCTCAAAACTGTGTCTACCAAGAGATTTGGTGAATAAGTCCGCCAGATTTTGCTTGATTTAAATTGAAGAACATCGATCTATGCTTCTTTCTGCAGATCAAATGTTGAGAAAAACTTTGCTGAGATTTGCTTCATTCTGTCTTGATGTAGCCTTCGTTGATTTGAGCTATGTATGTTGTGTTATCTTTATATATAATCGTAGCATTTTTCTTGATTACTTTCAAACTGCATGCTCCTTGTATGAGATTGATAATCAATCTCTAGCTACCATGCTCGCTCTCGATCACTGTCGTATAATGTTATCAGTTCGGCTTGATTCCATGTTGTTGTTCGTGCTCGCTCAATCGACTTCCAAGAAAATGTCGCATCACCATATGTGAACATATTACCTGTTTAATTTTACACTTAAATTTGGTACTTCAGGATTAAGTACTTCTTCGCCCTCTTCTGGGAGGTGATTAGAATGTTATGTATATATATGAGTGAAGAACCATGAGTATGTTCAAAGGATGAGCTTTATCCATATTTCAACGTGTTAACATCTTCTGGATGTAGTTTAACTTATGGTCAAATGTCCTGTCATATAAGTGTTTAAAATACAATCTGAAATATAATTTATGTCATGTCAGGATCTTCTGTCTCAAATTCTTTCTCTTCAAGAGTTCAACATTTTTTCTATCTTTTCAGGAGATCTAATAATATTTATACGTCGACGTAAACTGCCATAATAATGAATATTGAGAGCGATTCATGAATGACAACACATAGGTTGATTTCAATTTTGTATATTTATTTTTCTAGATATTCACTAAGTCAATTGTACCACATATAACCAGATTACTTGAGACCATTCCACGATCTCTTCACACGTATCTCGATGTATTAATTTTATTGCTTTAGGAATTTTGAATCATTTAGGGGATTCTGTCATACATATGTCGATTTCAAATGTCCCTTATAATTATGTTATAACGATATTCATATCATTTATTTGCGGTCCTTTTGAGATTGCGAGGCCAATTAAAATTCTAAAAGGATATTGCATCCACCACTGGAGAATACGTTTCCTCATAATCAACTCCTGTGATTTGAAAAAAAACCCTTGTCTTACAAGTAGTACTTCATATCGTACAATCTCATTCATTTTATTTCTGTTTATTACAAACACTCATTTATAACCTATTGGTTTGACTTCTTTGGGTGTTCAGACTTCAGGTCCGAAAATATTTCGTTTATCGAGTGACTTATATTCGACCTTGAGGGTCTTTTGCCATTTGGCAAATCATTTATGTACTTTGTACATGTAGTCTTCTTTGAATTTTAAGTATGTAATCTCTTATATTGATTACAACCATTGCCACATTCTATGCAAGAATATCATTAACACGTGTTTCATTTCAGTTCCATATTGTACAGTCTCGTACATAATTAATAGAGATCTCATTTTCTTTTGGTACCGATGTTTCTTTAGAAAACTTATTATATTGTAATAGAGTAATTAGTATTTAAAAAACAATTAAAAAGTTAGAGATTGAATTTCATTATAACATTGAAATATAAAATGTAAATACGCGTTCTTAAAGAATAACAATAAAAGTCGTTCACAATAGGAGATGATATAACTACATAAATGAATTCAAATACAAATCAATCAAACCAATCCAAAACAGATCTAGCCCGATTCAAATCCGAATCAAACATGATACATTCATTATATATGTAGTTGACTTTTCAATTCTATCATTGATATGATGGATAAAAATAAGAAATATTTGCACTAAATAGCACTAAAATTTAAATCATTTCCCTAAATAGCACTTAAACTGTTTTCTTCTCTAAATAGCACTAAATAATGTCTAGTGATGGCAAATATTTGCTAGAATAATGACTAATGCATAATGACTAAAAGTGTTACTCCCTCCGTCCTATATTTAATTTCCCGTTTTGACTTGAGCTCATTTTTAAGAAAGAGTAAAAATTCCTTTGACTTTCCAAAATTGCCCCTCAACCCTTCTACTTCGCTGCCCCTGATTATTGACGTGAGCTTGCCTAACTCCAACAAAAATCATCCAACCACCACAAGCATATATATCCAACAAATTCAAGCTTTTGGAATAGAATCGATTCATCTGTTCTGAAATAAATTTTTTTTGCATATATATACGCTTCATGTATATCAGTAGATACGAAGGAAGATAATCACACATGAGCCTTAAATCGATCATTGACTCCACCCAATTCAAGAAATTTGGTGTATCAAAAACACACCCAACATTAAAAAGGGGTAAAATCAAAGATGTTAAAAAACACAGATCTAAAATACTCCGTAGAAAGAATTAAGTAGAAGATGCAATAGAAAAAAATGGATCTGCTCTTCTTAGGCTTTTTAGTGTGTTAATCTTAACAACAAAGAATAGATCTGAAAATGAATGGAATCATAAATGCAATTTTATTCTAGAGACAAAGGTGCAGTGCAACGAAAACAAAATCAAAGACAAAAAAATGAAATCTCGTGAAGGGAAAGGAAATTCGAATCGAAAAGGAAAACTGAGATTTGAGATAAGAAAGAGAAGGTCGCTGGGATGAGATTATGAGAAGTAGAAGTTAGAATTAAGAAGAAATTAAAGAAAACAGATGAGGTTGGGGTTAAAGGAGGACGTGAGAATTAGGAAGGAAAAAAGAAAGGATAGGTTAGAGGGTATTATTGTCATTTGATATAATAGAAGTTGCCATTTTAAGTAATGGGAAGATAATTTTAGGACAGCCTGAAAAGGAAAGTGAGAAGTTAAATTTAGGACGGAGGGAGTACATTGGGAAGAAAAACACATGTGGTGCTATTCAGGGAAAGTCATTATGTTTTAGTACTATTTAAGTAAATTCCTCTGAAAATAAACTATGATGAATAGATTAATAGTAAAAAAAGAGAAGGTGTTTAAAAAAACATACCTAAGAGATAGTAATACTACCTTCGTTCCACAAAACCCTTCCGGTTTTGACTTTGGGAAAAAAAATATGGAAAGTGTAATTTTGGTTGACTTTCCAATTTTGCACCTGATGTGATGAGAAAAAGTAAGATGTGATAGTTTGGTTATTAGTGAAAAAGTATGATGTGATAGGTAGGGTATGAAAAAATAGGGATAAAAGTGGTTTTTTAATAGAAAGTGGAAGTATCTTGTAGAAAGAAAAAAAATGAAAGAGTAAGAGTTTTGTGGAACTGAGGGAGGAGTATACATATTGATAGATATTTGGGGTTGGTTGATTATTATATTTGAATTAAGTAGCTAGAACATGTACCGTACTCCCCTGTGAAATTCTTGGTTTGAAAATTGAAGGTGAGAGGGGAGCATCGGACCTCAACCTCGGGACGCTCCCATTCCTTCTCCTCCTGATTAAACCCAGCGCGAAACGTCATGGTTAAGATCATGCCGCAGGATGCCGTGTCCTCTGGGAGAGGCCAGTTTTGCACGGGGAGATTGACGGCGATGTCGGTGGAGTCATTCCCGGGATGGAGCG